CACATGCGGAAAAGATAAATTAAGCATAACATAATCAAGGACCTTCCACACTAAAGTCCTTTCTCATGTAACCAAACCCTAAACCGCGAATTGATAACTTCCTTCCATTGTCCCTTTGACCTCATCACGGCCCTAACCACAAAGGCTAAAAGACCAGTGATCCGACATGTAATACACCGGCCCTAGGCTACAATCCCGTTCCTCCGGGTATTACAATTGGTAGTCACGGCCCTAAGCTGTAATCTCGTTCCTCCGTGACTAGCGATATCTGGAAGTGTCAACCGCTCTCTACAATTGTTAGAACATTACATGATCCTCTTGATCACTTGTAACGTCTAACCTCACATACAACATAAAAGTTTACCTTTGACCTGCATGTATCTAGACAGATCACACGCGGATCTGCTTCCTCTTGAAATCCTGCATCCACAAAGATTAGTGGCAAATACAAACATAAACATCCCATGACTCATGGAGCATGCAATCACACAATCAAACATCATGCACAAACAATCAAAGAAAATACTTAACCAAATTCCTAAAATTCTAGCAAGAACCTCCATGGCTATAAAACATAACAATAAACAAGCAACGTGTGCTCTACTCATCTAGCACACGACAAGTATCACCAAGACTCACCTTATTCAAACGGTTATGACTTAGACTCGGACTTAGGCTTAGAACGGATCTAGGTTCCTCGACTACTCCAAGATCGAACAAATCTTCCCTTTCCTTAAAACGGACAGAGTTTCGGCTTGAATCTCAATCATTCCAACCATCAAAACCACAAAGGATTGGATTCAAGATCACAAGACGAAACTAAGTCAAATAGAAAAGTTAGGATCGAAATGGCTTACCCTAAAAACTTCACGGCACTACTGGATGGTTCCCGACAACAGACCGCGGATTGGATCACGATCACAAACTATTTTGGTCAGAGGTTTGAAACGTTTTTTATGTAAGAAATGAGAGCTATTTGGTCATATTTATAGGGTTAAGCAAGCAGGTAGGTACAGTAGGACGGTCAGAAGTGTGTGTCGTGCTTTCCGATGAGTCGTTGCACACGGTCGCGACACCTCGTGCTTGCGGATTTATCATGCTTGTGGATTAGTCGTGCTTGCAGATTTATCGTGTTTGTGGATTTGTCGTGCTTCCGATGACTCGTCACACAAGATCGCGATACCTCGTGCTTACGGGATTTGTCGTGCTTCTGATTTGTCGAGCTTGCGGATTTGTCGTGCTTGCGGATTCCAAACACATCAATCCCGAGCAGCTGTGTCGTGTTTCCGGAAACTTTTATATTTTTGTAAAAATATCAAGTTTGAAAGCACCTTGCCACCTTGTGCTTCTCGCCACGTCGTGCTTCGGGCCACCTCGTGCTTAAAATTCCGTCATACTTAACAATTTTTTTTTCCACAACTAGGTCTTGACTCGATCATCTCCCGTAATTATTTTGATCTCTTGACAGGTTCATTACAGCGTTGTTAACAAAAATAGTTACTTTTTCGTATATATCTTAGAAACGTACATTTTATCATTATCAAGTATTAACATAAGTTACGTATAACAGCGGTAATGTAACAAATTTGGCGACACCATTAATAAATATAATTAATTTATCGTATATAACTCACACACGTAGATATTATCACTATCAAGTTTTAACTTGAGTAATGTACAACAACCGCATTAATAACAATTGTTATGTTACCAATCTGTCGACGTATCGACGCTTTATTTTTGTCGTCTATAACTCACACATATACATATTATCACTATCAAATTTTACCATGACTTATATATGATGTGAATATTAATAACAATTATTATGTTATAAATTTAATGGCACCGTTAATAAAATTTATTATGTTACAAATTTGGCGGGACCATTAATAAATATAGTTATTATGTTACAAACTTGGCGGCACGGTTAATAAAAATAATTATTATGTTATAAATTTGGTGACATTGCTAATAAAATAGTTATTTTGCTGTATATATTTTATAAACGTACATATTATCATTATCAAGTATTAACATCAATTGTATATGACAACTGTTATGTTACAAATTTGGAGATACTATTAATAAATATAATTATTTTGTCGTATATAATTCACACACGTAGATATTATCACTATCAAGTTTTAACTTGAGTAATATACAACAACCGCATTAATAACAATTGTTATGTTACAAATTTGGCGGCGCGTCGACACTTTATTTTTGTCGTTTATAACTCACACATGTACATAT